GCGTACTTCCCCTGCCCACTTAGTACTGATGCCACATTGTTCATGCTCGCTAGAGTGTCTGGGTGCTCCTTTCCTAGCACCTTCTCGCACAGTGCCAGTTCTTCTCGATGCATCTTCTCCGCCTCCGCGTACTTCCCCTGCTCGCTCAGTGTCCCTGCCACCTCGTTCATGCTCACCAGCGTGTCTGGGTGCTCCTTTCCTAGCACCTTCTCGCGCAGTGCCAGTACTTCTCGATGTATCTTCTCTGCCTCCAAGTACTTCCCCTGCCCGCTCAGTGCTGCTGCTATCTCATTTATGCTTGTCAACGTGTCTGGGTGCTCCATTCCTAGCACCTTCTTGCACAGTGCCAGCTCTTCTCGACGCATCTTCTCCGCCTCCACGTACTTCCCCTGCCGGCTCAGTGCTAGGGCCACATTACCCATGCTCGTCAGCGTGGCTGGGTGCTCCTTTCCTAGCATATTTTCCCGTAGTACAAGCACCTTTCGCTGAGTCATCTCCGCAGAGTTGTACCGCCCCAGGCTTTGCTCACAGCATCCTAGCCGGTCCAGCAGCGACACCCGGCTTTCCACCTCGTACACCTCAGGCAACTCCACAACATGCATAGCATGGGGCAGATACGCCGTCCATACCTCTCTTCTTTCATGGTCACCGTAAGGAACCACCTCGACCAGCCGCGTTAGTATCTTGTTCACCCAAGCATCCCACTGCTCGTGCTCTCTCAACCAGTTGTGCATTGCCAAGCGGACTAGTCGATGCATGTCAAACATTTTTTCTGGGTGCTGCGTATCCCTTCTTCCTAGTGGCTGTCGGCGTTCGGTAACGAAAGCGTATGCATCTAACGTGCCAACTGCCTCCATCGCCGCTAGTCTGCTACTGCCAGGTAACAGCAGCGACCCTGGGATGTTCTCGCCAGTTGTGCATGCCATGAAAGAGAGATAGTCTGCGGCTAGTGGATCCTGCTTTCGGATCTGCTTGAACGAGATGTACCATGTCGTTGCCACAGGGTTCCTCGCATCTCGGTATCTGCCGTGATCCTCAAACTCCTTGCTTAGGAGCTTAATCGCGTCTTCCTCGCTGTCTTTGTAGACCGACATATAGTCAGCGAGCGTGATGTTGTTCTTGTTGATAAAGGCGGCTGCCTGAACAATCGCAAGCGCGAGAAAGGTGAGCATATTGAGAAACTCATAAACCACCTGGCCATCCTCGAGCAGATGTTGATTGTCCGGCAGTAGGCGCGTCCTCAATACCTCCTTTCCCTCTCCCTCACCCAGCTCCCCTAGCTCTACACTATTGCTTCCAGCTAAGTCAACTGCAGCCTCTCGAGTCCGAGTGGTAAAGACAATAGAGCCCTTGCGATTGCTGTGTGGGAGGTAGTCTATCAACGGAGTCTTACCGCTTTCCGCATCACGCAAAATGCCAAAGTCGTCGGCGTTGTCGACGACCATCAACCACGGTCCGAAGCCTTCGTTGCTCAGCCACGCCTTAACGAGCCGCTTGACGTCCGCATTATCGTCTGCAATCTCGGGTATGCGCAAGAGCGCCCCTATGTCGCGGTATGCCTGCTCAAAGCTCTCTCGACTGACTGCTGGCACCCAGAAGATGGCGCGGGCAGGCTGCTGCTCCCTCGTGCGATATGTCGACTCAAGAACAAGGGCTGTCTTCCCGCACCCGCCAAGCCCGTATATCGCGAGCCGTCTGCAGCCCTCTGACGAGATGTGTGCGTCGAGCTTAGCGAGTTGCGTCTCTCGGCCGACGAAGGATGGCGGTCTCGCGAATGGAACGGCCCAAGGCGCTGCCCTGCATCAGCACATCGAACATAGTAGTAGATATAAGTAAGAGTTCTATTGATGCATTGCTGAGCTCTACATACAACGCAACCCCCTGCAAAGTAAACACGTCACGAACCTTCGGTCACACTTTTCATATCCCTAACCACAGCTGGCTGGATCTTGCAGAGCAGCTCTCTGGCGAATGCCGCCGCATTTCCCGCCGCGTGAGATCTCCATTTGTCGCCCTTGTGCGAGTCCGCATAGTCGGAGATGCCGCGGATCACCAGACACTGTCGGTTGGCGTCCACGCCCGCAGCCTCCATCTCGACGCAGAGTGCTCCATCGCATCTCGCACCGATTCTGTCACGCTGCTCACCGTCCTGGATGACGGCATTGCCTGTCGCGACCCTCCCTAAGTGGAACACCAGCTGGTCCTTGTCGTCTTCCGTCCTTGCGGGCCGCTGCACGAGCTCGTTCGGGTCGCATGTCGCGCACTTGGATCCATAGCCCCCAACGTGGAGGTACGCCGCCTTATATAGCCGGTCGTGCTCGAGGCCAGGGTGGGCGAATGCCCTATGCTTCTTATGTTTCCGTAGCCGCTCGAGCTGTCTGGCAAACGTGGTTTTTCCCATCTCGTGGTCTGACACAAGAATGCTAAGCGCGTTAAGGAGCCGCCAGTCTGGGTTCTGCATAGTGCCGACCATCTCAAACTCGCCGTCCACCCTGGCCCTCCCGCGGTCGTGGTAGACGCAGGCCGGCTTCCCGTCGCCGGGCCACCCCACCACGACGTCTCCGAGGTGGATGTCGTCGAGCGGGTCGTCCGAGGCGATGGCACGAGGGATGCCGCCTCCAATGCCGACGAGGAGGGCCATTCTGATGTTAGGGAACGTCCTGAACATGGGCCCAGTCAAGCGACCGGCGTTGACGTTGCCCGTCTCGCCCTGCGGACAGGTCGCGACGACGGCGGCATGGCCGTTGATCATGCCGCAGATGTATGTGTTATCGTCGTAGTGTGTGTCGTAGGGCGGTGGGGTGTGCTCCTCGTCCAGCATCAGCCGCGCGGGCAGCAGCTCGAGGTTTGCGACGGGGCAGATCCACGCGACGTGGTAGTCGACGCAGCGATGCGGGGGTTGTCCGCTGTTGGAGGCCATTCTGCCGCCTAGGCGATCACGATATGGGAAGAGGCGCTGGAAGCAGAGTGTGTAATAGAAAAGAGTGTGCCGCAGGAGGCACCCTGCCCATCTCGGACGGGTGTGCGTGGACGACAGTGTTTTCCTCAGTCTCGTCCCCTCAGGCTGAGGTCGACCGCGAGCTTCCCGTGAGCGCTGCCCTGGGGTATATCTGCCCTTGGGTTGCATGTTGATGCGTATTGGCGCGCCGGGGCGGCGTGTGATTGGTGTAACAGGCGCCAATCTCAGCTAGACGGCGCATTCAATGCCTATTGTACGCTTGGACTTCGTTCCAACTTCCAAAAAAAGGGGGGCATGTACAAGGGGAAGACCTGTACGGCCTGACGCGAGTGCCAGTACGCTTCCATAGAAATCGAAAATCTTCTATACAAATTTTGTCAGTGAGGTTGCCACTCGCGTCAGGCCGTACAGGTTTCCCCCTTGTAGCATAGATCACTTAGCCTTAACTCCTTTGTTAGTTCCTGCTGCAGCCCTGCACGCCTAAATTGTTTAACTACATGCAAAATACCACCAAACCGCTCTAGGCGTCTTTGCTACACACATTGACTGCACAGCTCCATCGTGTTCCTCAGCCGTTTGCTGGCACGCTGGATACAAAAACCGAAAGAACTGCTGCATAAGCAGCAGATATCGCCATGATCTCAAAGCTGGACACCTTCCGAAACAGCGACACAAGGAATGACAGAACCAGGATTCATACCGATACAACTGTGAGTTGGATGTTTTTTGACGAGTAGTGCGACAGAATAGCTAGCGGAATAACGAGGAAGACGGCTGTCAGCACTGCAGTCGTGACACGACCGATAATCTCAGCGATCAGAATTGTACTCTGGTAGGACCATCGGCGGCGGCCTCCAGCGAACGATCTAAGAGCCTCGGCGCTGTTCTGCGACTTCCCCGACATTCTCCAGTATCGAAAGGCTTGCAAATATCGGTGAAGCCAGCGCTGGAACAAGTCCGTCCGCGACCGCGTTCCTAAGTCCACTCGAAGCAGCCTTGTCTTGTAAATCTCGTGCAAGGTGAGGCCATCTCGTAGGCTTGATTGTTTCTCGTCATCGAGAAGCGAGAATGTCTCCATTGCCATAATATTGTTGAAGGCCATAAGCGCGTCATCTGTGTGTTCTGTTTCTGTCAGCCCAGGCATACCAGGTAAAAATATTGGTGCGCACCGTATTGCTTTAGGAGTTCACGTAGTCTGGAGACAAACTCTGGAGTGATAGTATCGCTGACATTTGGGAAGCTTGCGTCTTTTTTGCTATGCTTGAGGCCAGCCGGTCTGTCGATGAAGGGCTTACGTTTAGAGAGAGGCCGGCCTGGTACAAGATATGGTCCATTTGCGCGATCTCGTTTTCAAGCAGGCGTAGATTTTAGATGCGAGGTTTTGAAGCGACGAAAGCAGTGCAGCGTGAGATTGCTGTCAGCAGTACTCATTGTCCAACATTTCCGGAAATCTTCTTTTGCTATTGTTTCTTTAGGACTTGGCGACGTGAGATGTATGGCTGATGTAGCCATTGTAGAATGATACTGTGATGGGGGTAATGGCTAGAATATGCGAGTTGAGCTTTTCAGAGGTGGCAGTCGAACAGTAAAATAAGCTCGGTTATATAGAAGTGGCGCACATAGGCGCACGGCGCCCGAACGCACCTATCTCATCACAGCGCGATTTCCTTCAACACCTCATTGTTAACTATGGATCCTCGTGAGCACTCTATACAAAGTGCTATCGCTGATTTCAACGCAGACATTTATTCTAGTAAAAGAGCTGCTGCGAAGGCGTACGGCCTCCCTGAAACTACGTTGCGCAGGTGCCTCAATGGCGCGTCGAACCGTACTGTCAGTCATCAACACCAACAAAATTGAGCCCTGATCAGGAGAGTTTCCTTATTAAATAGATACTTGAAGACGATCTCTACTCCCCCCCCCTTTTCACACGCGCGCGTACGAGAGATGGCCAATCGAATACTACATCTGAATGGGGAGAGGAATTTAGTTGGCAAGCTCTAGATCTCACACCTCTTAAGGCGTCGACCGTCCTTATATCCTTCCTATTCTTGTATTCCTAAGCAAATTAGACCTCTGCTTGAGTTGATTGTTCGTTTTGTTTGCAACCACTTCAGTCACATCACGTGACCTGCTGATCTAATCTTGCCCCGCGCATCGTTGTCCCACGTGGACACTCTCCTTTCCAAGCCTCACAACCTTCCTTCGTCGTTTGCTTGGTTAATAACGTCCCTCACTGCGTAGCGAGACACTGTGTGCCGAGACAAATGAGGGGTACTTTGACTTCCAGCAACTAGAAAGGCCATGCGCACAGCGAATATTATTATAATTCTATAAAAATAATCTGCTGTAGCTAATCCTAAATGTCTACAATTGACTCTTCCCGAAAAATCACATTTGCAGTGGTGCCTCTAAACCTAATTTGTACGACGCCTTCCTTGTAGCGTTACAGACTTCCCTCCCCACAGCACCAACAACAAGTCTTGTTGCTCTAAATTTGTGTAAAACAGCCTTATCCTAGCCTTAAAACCTCCCTCTGGTGCTCTAAAGTCATCAATCTCTCCCCTTAGCTGGCTCGGTAGTTTTCTGATATCCTTCGTACAAGGCCTATAGGTGTCAATGGCATTCCCAGGTTTCTGAGTCCCCACGCACTCCCATATGCCTCTGGGTGGATTCATACCGCATTCGGACCCATTGTCTTGCCTGTGCCGTTACAATCGCCATGTTAGTTAGTACTTCTAGCAGAAGCGAGACTCTAACCCTGGCTAATGTGAGATGACCCCACACGTCTCATCTCATCATCTGCGGGTAATTTATTGTCAGATCTGTGGCCGTCCGGATCGCACAAGCGCTCGGAATATAAGTAAACTTGGCTAAGGATTAGGAGTAGTGTTATGGTGGCGTTTGTTCAGTTAGCTAACACGTGTCAGCAATAAAACTAGTTTCAGCATAGGCATCGTACAACTTCGAGATGCGGTCCAACGCACAGCGATACGTACTTTTGTACCATAGAGACATACTATTCACGTCGCCCTCAAGCTGCGAACCCCGTCCTTGTCCCTTCCGCTGACCGAACGAAAAACCTGCTCAAGCCACTACGTCCTCATGCTTCTCGAGCCCACCGGCGCCGATTCCTAGACCAAGCAGCAGCCAAGATCTAGCCTCGGCTCGTTGAAAGGGAATACAATGAGATAGGAACGAGATAGGATAAGATAGAGTGCGGCGGCCCTAGAAATTGAAGCCTTTGACTCGGCAAGTAGGTTAAGTGTCACTAGCAGAACGCCATCGTTGCAAGCACATACGAAGGTGGAAAGGCCCGACATGTGCTTCAGTTTGACCTCTGAGGATCATGGGGAGTTTTGAATTGTTCATTTTCGTGAGAGATGAGTACTAGCAGAGCTGTGATAGTGGCTATGCTTAGCAAGACTCTACACTATCTAGAGCTGCATACAGTACTCTTACCTTCAGCTATATCTACAAACCATCGCCTCCAGCGCAAGGTCATGGCCAGATCGGGTCGGCCGCCCTCCCTGCTAGCACGATCGAGACGTTCATCTGCTCTTGACGAGGCTCAGCGGCGAATTTTCAAAACTTAGTTTGAAAAGTAGAAGATGCTCGAAGCTTCACATGGCAAAGTAGCAAACTAAGTTAGATGATTGCTTTGATCCCTAGCCCTCTCTATAAAATAACGATTGTATATATGCAGAACCAGAATTTATGGCGACCTAAAAGCTCTGAAGTCCGAGAACACATTAAGCTGTACTTCAGTTTCAAGCCTTAGATAGACTAGCCTCTTCAACACTGTCCTCTTCTAGCCCGTTTTCTGTGAGGTTGCTTCAGTAGCTGCCCTCAAGAAGCCTTCTAACAGCATGATGTCCGTTTGCTGAGGCTAGTTTGATCGCATTTCCGCAATTAAAATTCCCGTCTCTGCCGAGGCCAGCACCAGCATTAAGCAGCAACTGCACCATGTCTATACGGCCATGTTCTGCGGCTCCTTCTAAAGCAGTTCTTCCATCTAAGGCTCTAGAGCCATTTACATTAGACCCGGCTTCAAGAAGTGTCGTAGCAATTGTAACGTAGCCCATAATAGCAGCGGCCTGAAGGGCTGTCACTCCAGCAGTTTTCGCCGCTGAGGCATTAACGTCGGCGCCGGCATCAAGAAGAATTTGCACTACTTCAATGTCACCGTTCTTAGCTGCCGCTTGGAGGGCTGTTATTCCATGAAAAGCTCTTGGTGGTGCGTTGACGTCGGCGCCGGCATTAGCTGCCGCTTCGAGGACTGTTGATCCATGAAAATCTGCTGGTGGTGCGTTGACGTCGGCGCCGGCATTAAGAAGAATTCGTACTACTTCAATGTTGCCGTTCTCAGCTGCTGCTTGGAGGGCCGTTCTTCCATTCCCATCTGCTGGTGGTGCGTTGACGTCGGCGCCAGAATCAAGAAGAATTCGCACTACTTCAATGTTGCCGTTCTTAGCTGCCGCTTGGAGGGCTGTTAGTCCATGAAGAGCTGGTGGTGCGTTGACGTCGGCGCCGGCATTAAGAAGAATTTCCATTACTTTAGTGTTACTGTTCTCAGCTGCTGCTTGGAGGGCCGTTCTTCCCCACTCATATGCTGGTGGGGCGTTGACGTCGGCGCCGGCACCAAGAAGAATTCGCACTACTTCAATGTTGCCGTTCTCAGCTGCTGCTTGGAGGGCCGTTCTTCCACCCTCATCTGATGGTAGTTCGTTGACGTCGGCGCCGGCACTAAGAAGAATTTGAACGACTTCAATGACACCGTTCTCAGCTGCTGCTTGGAGGGCTGTTATTCCATTCCCATATGTTGGTGGTGCGTTGACGTCGGCGCCGGCATTAAGAAGAATTTCCATTACTTTAGTGTCACTGTTCTCAGCTGCTGCTTGGAGGGCCGTTCTTCCAT